CTGGGACTGGAAGCTTTATTTCAGGGGGCTCGGAATGACAGCAGGAAAAGCAAGTTCGGGGTTTTCCCATGCCAAAGCAGGGCAAGGGACACCAAGGGTCACCTTCGAGGGTAGCTTAGCCCAGACTCTGAGTCCACGGAGCTAGGCCTCCAGTTTGTAGCTGTAGGGTCGGAGAATGGGAAGTCAACACTGAGCAAGCAGGGCCTAGGCCGGGGAGGGGCCTTGCAGCCACCAGTGGACACGGGAACATGGCTGTGCCAGTCTGACTTAATGGGGTCCAGTGTCCCAGACCTGAGCTCCAGGACACCGGGGCTGTATGAGACGAGTTTGCCGAGTGTAGAAGCAGCAGGAACAGAGCGTGTGTCGGGTTACGGTGGGCCTAGTGCAAGGTGCCTGCCTGCGTATCTCACTCTTAGAGCAACTTCACAGTGTGAAGTGTCCCCATATTTAGGGGCTGACACTGTGACAATCCAGCTTCTTAGGCCTGTAGAGCAGCACAGGGTCTGGACTGGTGCCTAGTCAGCCCTCAGAACATAAAACGTGGAATTAACATGTGAAGCACCAGCAAGTTCAGCTCAGCATTTCCTGCACACCTGGCACGTGCTCCATCCCTGCCTTTGCGGAGCCCCCAGCCAAGAGTTGGTTTCTCTTTTTTCAGAAACCGGCCCTGGTTCTCCTAGAAGCTGTCTGCTTAGACCTGGATAAAAATGGCATCCTGCTAAAATAACATTTTCACCAAATACTAGCCTGTCCAGTCAAATGGTCAGCCTTTTGGAGGTCTTCTGGCGTGCGCGCTGTGCTACGTGCCAGCAGGTTTTGAGTCAGGGCTTCTTGGGGGCCTAGATGTAAGCCAGACCCCGTCACAGAGTGGCTTAGAGCTGGGGCTTTGTGGGGGCAATGGGACTCCCAGCTCAAGGGCAAACACGGAACAGCTGCTGGGCCACCTCTTTTACTCAGAGATTTAGAAAAGAAAAACATAAATTTTTGTAGACACACAGGCCAAAGGAAATGAATTTACTTTTCCACGCTAGCCGGCTTTCACTCTGGCATCGAATGAAAATCTGTGCGCGTTTAGAAGGTGAAGCGTCTTTAACAGAATCCTGCACCTGAGCTGGGCGGTGCCAGACGTCACGCACTACGCTCCACCCTGTTCTGTTCTGTCATGCTGGGACGGCCGTCCCTGTGAACACACTGAGCCTCTGGCTGGTGGAACTGCTGTCCCTCCCCGACCCCACTGCCAGCACGGTCAGTGCCTGAGCCACGAGCCGAATGATCCCAAATCAATGTTGGATCTCATTTTCAGGAATTTTTAGACGTGGGATGAATTCTGGGTCTGATTCTGCCACTGACGTACTCACTGATGTTGGGTCACTCCCTTCCCCTCTCTGGTCTTCAGTTCCTTTGTGTGCGACGTGGGAGGGGGGCCTGCACAGCTCCCTGGGGTTCCTTTCAGCTTTAACGTTTTGTGGTAGGCCTTTATTCTTTGTCCAGGTGGATGTGATTCAGATTCACCTGAGATTTATCTAGAGTGCACTGTAATGTGCTGTGAGCACGCTTTCACGTACAGTATTTAATTGTAGTCACCCAGAATGGTAGGTGTTTGATCACCATTTTGTGGATTACAACGGAGGCTCTGAGAAGGTTTGTTAGCTGAGGTCACACAGACAGGACGTCACAGAGCTGAGATATACTCTCAGGCTTCTAAGGGGCCAAGAACACTGTGAGCTCAGCAGCGACAGCCTCCTCCGTGCGTCTGGCCCGGCCTGCCCAGGAATGCAGGTGGGCTCCCGCTGGGGCTGTGGGCTGCTGGCAGTGCATATGGACTCTGGCTGGCGGGGTTGGCAGTGTTCTGGAAGGCTGGGAGGGCTGGGCTGTCAAAGGCGGAGAGCGCGTGTCTGGCCCTGCCGGAGTCCTGCTGTCTTGGAGGGCCCGCGGCCCCCATGTGTGCCTCCAGCCTGAGCAGCTGCCTGCTCTCTGCTTTGCTGTCTGGGGGCCCTTACCTGCCAAGAGGCCTGTCATCCTCAGAAACCCACCCTCAAATATTCCTGTCCACACTTTCTAGCCCCCGTAGGCCGAGGGCAGGGAAGGAAGAGGTGAGTTGCGGAGACAGAGCTCAGATCTGTCTTCACAGTTGGGGGCCAACTTCAAGTTATGCTTATCTCAGCCAGTTCATTCCTCCCCCACCCCCCGTCCCCCAGTGTGCCCCCCAGTGTGCGTGTAGCAAAGGCTTCCTAGATCACAGTTTTTTCTCAGAACCCTGAGGTAGCCTCAACTCCTGACATGACACTGGGCAAGTAAGTTCCACTCTCTGGGCCCCAGTGTCCTCGTCTAGGCAATAACCAGCTGGCTGAGCCCCCTGGGTCTCAGGTCCCTCCCGGCGGTGATGTTTTAGGATCCGCTGTCTTTCACATTACCTTCCCAGAGGCAGAGGGATGGACCAGATGCCTTTGGAGAGGGCATCAAGCTTAAAAATTGCTCTTGCTGTCTGGTTGTTCCCATGGGGGGGGGCTGCAGGTGTTTTGCCCTCCCTGCAGCCCAAGGCGCACTCCCATCTGCCCCAGGCAGGCCCAGGCCTGGCCCTTTAGCCTGGAAGCCAACGGAGCCAGGTGGAGGTGGGGGAGGCTCAAGGAGGGGGGAGGGGAGGCAGGGGAGGAGAGAGGCACCCACTTGTCCCGCTGCTTCCACAGTCGCTGTGGCAGGTCTGGCTTGTCAGTGGGGTGGAAACCCATTGGTTTGTTTCTCAGTCCTGGGGCCGGCTGTGCGCCCAACAGCCCCATGGCACTGAACCGACCCTTGCAGGCCTACACCCCCCCAACGTGGCGGAGCTAGCGCAGGCTCCTCTCTGCTCGGGGCTGCGGCCAAGCGGTGGCATTGGCGTGGATGTCTCCCTCACCCTTCCCCTCCCTCCTGAAGGGAATGACATCTCTCAGGTCTGGACACAGGTCGGGGCTCTCCGGGGCTGAGAGGCGGGAGAGTGGGTGGGGAGCACCACTTGGGGCTGGATGTGGGTCCACATTCACCATTCCCGTCTGCGCCCCGGCTCCCATCTCCCTTCCTACGTCCTCGGCCCCTCTGTCGCTGCCACCCATGGAGCTCGCCGGAGAAGGGCAGCCGCAGCCTGCACCGATTCTCTGCCCGCAGTCCCTGCCCCCTCTGCCCACCGTGCGGTCACCCCGCCCGCTCGGGCCAGCCCTCGAGCCGAGGGCGCCGACAGTAGGGGGACCAAAGTTCGGGTCCCATCGCAGGCCGAGGGCCCTGAGCCCCCCTCCCGCCGGGGCCGCGGCAGGGGCGCCGAGATGTCGGGCGCGGCGGCGGCCTCACCTGTTTCTCCAGCGGCTCCTTGGCTGAGAGCGCAGGCTTGGGGGAGGGCGCGCGGTCGCAGACGCAGCCCTCCAGCAGGTAGAGCCCAGAGGGCCGCGAGCTCGAGTCGCTCTCGAAGTAGAAGAGCAGGTTCTGCAGCAGTGCGAACCACTTGGTTTGCCATTTTGTGTTGTCCGAACTCCGTTTGCTCAGGTAGCCTTTGCGCGTGCCGTCCTTGCGCGCCAGCAGCCCCAGGGACGCGACGTGGCCATCGTTCAGCCGGATCCCCTTCTGCATGGTGCTCGGAGGCCAGCTAGACCCCGCGCGCTTACATCTTCTCCGCGCGGCCCCGGCGGCCCCCTGTCCGTGCGCGCCGCCTCTCTCTGGCGCTCGCTCGCCCCTCTCCCCTCCCCCCAGATAGCTGCACTCCGGGGTCTGGCGCCCGGCCCCGGCTCCTGGAGCCCAGATGGACCGCTCTCCGCCGCCGCAGAGCCCGGGGCCCAGGAGATGCCGCGCTACCCTCCCCCGGTGCCCGGGAAACTGAGGGAGCGGTGAGCTGCTCGCTGGCGAGGGGCAGGCGGAGTCATGTGACGCGGATCCCTCGAAGAGCCCGTTCCAGCAGCGCGGACAGGGACACACGCACGCAGCCTGCGAGGCGCAGGGCTGCGCAGGCTGCACCTTGGCGCCGCCTCCCCCTCCCGGACCCACATACACAGGCACAGACACAAACCCCGCGCGCCCCTGGTCTCTTAGCCCCTTGAGGTGTTAAGCAAATCAGATCAGTTCTCGTTTAACCCAGTGGCACCCCAGAGGTTCGCCGTGGGGGGGTGGTTCCGTCTTTGCGCCCCATCGCGGAGCGCTGTAGACCGGGGGTAAAGTCCCAGTTGTCGTTTTCTCCTTCCAAGGCTCCCTCCTGGGGCTTTATATTTCTAACCCGAGGTAGATGGAGGAGCGCGAATGGCGGAGAAGATCTAAATGAGCGTTCGGTCCTAATCTTTGCATACTTGGCTGTGTCACATTTATTTCGGCATCCAGCCGCACTCGCGGTGGCTTCCCCAGCGGCGTAGGGACGATACAGGGGATGCGATGGGGTGGGGGAGAGGAGCGCTATTTTATTTTGAGTGTTGCCATAATTACCGGCGCCACCCCCAGCGCCCTGAGGTCTGGCTGGCGAGCCGCTGCCGGGAGTTTTCTGCAAATACCCCCCAGAGCCTGAAGGCGGGCTTCAAACGCAGGCGCCGGGGACCATGGGAGCCTTCAAATAGCTGCGCTGGCGCAATGATACCTTAATGATAGATTTTCCGTTCTTATTTTTAGCTCCCGTTCGCCTACACAGTTACACGGCATTTATCCGAGAACGTCACAGCGCCCGCATGCTGC